TAAGAATCTCAGGGACTTTCCTGTCCAGGCTGGTTTTGAACCACGGTCCTCATATCTCAGCCTCCTGAGTAGCTAGAATTACAGGTGTGAGCCCTAGCGCTGGGATTTCTTTTTTTAGGGGCATATTTTTGGTTCATTTCTGTTCTGGTTTTAAAGTTAGGAGTTCAGTTTCTTTTATAAATATAGGGCTATTAAAATCATCTATGCCATAAACCAGGAGCTGTAATAGTTGGCAATGTGAGTAGTTGGTCCATTTTCTTTAAGCTGTCAAATATGTGTGCAGAGAGTTGTTCATTGCGTTTTCCTTTATACTCTTTTGCTCTCTTCAGGGCCTACGGTTATGTTCCATTTCATTTCTGATATTGGAAATTTGTGTCTTCTTTTTGCTTTGTGAATCTTGCTAAAGATGTGTCAGGTTTTTGATACTTTTAAAGAACCAGCTCATTGCTTTATTTATTTCCATACTTTGTATTTTTATTTTCATAATTCTTTATCTTTACATTTTCATTCTTCTGTTTCCTTTGGATTTATTATTATATTTGGATTTATTCTTTTTTGTCTTAAATTCTGGGGGTGGGAGCCTGGATTACTAACAATGCTATTTTTTTCCACTTTTGATACATACATTTAAAAAACCTGTTCTTATCTGTGTTCCATGAGTCTTGATTTTCTCCCTCATTTTCCTTCATATACTGTAATTTTTGAGTTTTCTTGTACCTATGGATTATTTAGAAGTGTGTTTAAACTTCTAAGTGTTTAGCACTTTCCTGTTTTCTTTCTGTTAGTAATTTTTTATTTAACTTAAAGTAGACCATACTCTGAACCATAAAATGGGAACAAATTTAAGAGACTAAAATAATGCAGTGTGTTTTCTGTTTCTTTGTAACTGAGAATATGTTCTATGTTGGTATATTTAGTGGGTACTTGAGATAAGTGTGTATTTGCTCTTTCTGGGCACAGTATTCCATAAACATCTATTGGAGTGATTGATGATGTAGTTGAGCTCTTCTATATCCTTGTTGAATATCTGTGTAGTTGTTCTGTCAGTTGTTGAAAGAGCAATGTTGATGTCTTCCAGTGTATTTATGAACTAATATCTACGTTCCTTACAATATATGAGTTTGGTTAAGTCAGTTTTTGCTTCCCATATTTCCAATCTTTTGCTGAATACATATATATTTAGGACGTCTGTTGGTAGAAAAACCTTTTATTGTTATATACATTTTCATCTTTGGTGATTTCCTTTCTGTGAGCTGTGCTTTATCTAATATTAATGTAGCCACTCTAGCTTTCCTTTGATTAATGTTTGCTTGATAAAACTTCTATCCTTTCACTTGCAGCCTGCCTCTATCATTATACCGAAGGGAGTTGTTTTATATGCAGCATTTAATTGAATCAGTTTTAATTCACACTGCCAATTTCTCTATATTAATTGAAATATTTATGTCACTTACAGTATGTGTGATTATAGGTGTGTTAGAGCTTAAGTCTGCTGTTTTATTTTTGTTTTCTGTCTCTTTTTCTTTGTCTTCTGTTGTTGTTGGTTGTGGGGCCTGAACTCTGGGGCCTGGGCGCTGTCCCTCAGCTCTTCAGCGCAAGGCTAGTGCTCTACCACTTGAGCCACAGCGCCACTTCCGGCTTTTTTTCTTTTTGCTTATGTGGTGCTGGGGAATCGAACCCAGGGCCTCAGGCATGCAAGGCAAGCGCTCTACCACTGAGCCACCTTCCCAGCCCCTCTTTTTCTTTGTCTTCTGTCTCTTTTTCTTTTTACATTTATCTGCTTTCTTGTGAGTTATTTGAACAAGCTTTAGAGTTTTGTTTTATCTATAGTTCTAAAATACATTTCTAGTTATAGCCTTTTAAATCAGTTACTCTAGTTACTACATTGCATATACATAGCTCTTAGAATCTACTGGCGTCATCATTTTATCAGTTAAGGTAAAGAATAGAACCTTTACCTCCCTGAGTGTCCCTTCAATTTTCCCTCACTTACAACTGTATTAGTGTTTCCTCTATATACATTAATACCTGCATTATATAGTGTTATTTTTGTTTGGACTTTGAAATGTAATTTAGAAAAGTCAAAAAAACTTAATGTTTTTATACATATTTTGGCTTGCTCTGTTCCAACTTCCTTCCTGATGTTCCAAGGTTCTGTTCTGGGAAAATCTAAGAACTAAACACTGTATATACATATACCCAAGGCACCAAGAGATTGAAGAAAATTGTCAGGCACATTCTTTGTGGTGATAGTACCACAGTTGGACACATAAGGTCCCACATACTCTAATGGTTTTGTTTATCTAAACTACTGGGAAAATAGGCCAGCAGACTCTGGGAAATCATACTCAGGAAACTCAGGGAAGTTGCCACTCAAGATAGTACAGTCAGGCTAAGCTAGGTCCCTACACTCCTTCATTATTTCTTTGCTGTTTAGAGAGTTTGCTGTAGCCTTTTTTTTAATGTTTTTTAAATTGTAAAAATAGTGTACAGAGGGATTACAGTTACATGAATAAGGTAATGAGTACATTTCCTATCGAGCATTGTTACCTTCTCCTTTGTTTTTCCCCTACCATCCTTTCCCTCCCCACCTCCTCAACTCCCTCTCCCCCCCAAGTTGTAAAGTGCATTTTCTACATAGTGTCTTGTACATCTCATTGTTACAATGGGTCAACCTGTATCTTTATTTCAGCATTTTGTTATTTCCCTTCCCCTCCCCAAATTAGAAAAACGTACATTCAAGATGCAGAGCACATCAAATACAGTGAAAATAGGAGTTATACCGTGGGGGAAGAACATACAAGATAAACAAAAACTCACATAGTACATTTTAGATACATTAAAAATAATAGCAAGAAAGAAAAAAAACAAGTTGTGTTCTTATCTTGGGGTTCATTTTTGTCGGTCGTGGGGGCTTAACTCTGGGCTTGGGTGCTGTCCCTGTGCTCTTCAACTGAAAGCAAGCATTGTACTGTTGAGCCACAGCACCACTTCCGGTTTTCTAGTGGTTTATTGGAGATGAGAGTTTCATGGACTTTCCTGCCTGTGCTGGCTTTGAACCATGATCCTCAGATCTCAGCCTCCTGAGTAGCTAGGATTACAGGAGTAAGCCACTGGTACCTGGCTTGCTGTAGCCAATTTTTAAGGGTAGATCTTGTAACAGATTTTTCAGTTTTCGTTTATCAATAAATGTCTTTATTCCCTTTTCATTTCCTGAAGACATTTTTATTGGCTGTAGGATTCTAAGTTGATAATTCCTTTAGTGCCTGAAAAGTACTGTGCTTCCTCTTTCTTCTATGGTTTCTGATATGAAAGCTGCTGTCATAGTAATCATTTGGGAAAAGCTTATAGCTTCTACTTTTAGAAGTTTAATTATGATGTGTCTTAGTGTTGTGTTTTATTATTAGTCTTTACTTCAGATTTACTCAGGTTCTTGAAATAAACAATCATTAAGTTTATAGATAAACCTTGAAAGTTTTCAACTATTATTTCTTCAAATACTTCTTTAAAATTTTGGTCTTGCCCTCTGTTACCTCCTTCAGGACGTAAAATGATCTTAGTGATCCCAGTAACATCAGTGATGTTACATCTTTTGTTGTACTCTTTCAGGTCTGTAAGGCTTCACTCATTAATTTTAGTATATTTTCTGTATCATTCAGACTGTGTAACTTCTATTATCTATCTTCCAGTATACTGATTGTTTATCCTCTCTCACTTCCATTTCGTGTGCTGCAGCCATCGCTGAGGATTTTTTTTAATTCTTTTGTTTTTGTTCATTTTTTTTTCTTTAGTTATTGCTGTTTTCTATTTTAAAATTTGTAGTTTATTTTAATACCTTCCCTTTGCTGAATTATTATTTGCTTGAAGAATGTTCACAACTATTGAAGCACTGATATCAAAATGCTTTGAAATCTTTGTCAGATGTCTTTATTACTGTCAGCCTTCTTGGTGCTAGTGTGTTCTTTCTCCAACCTCTCTAAATCTCCCTAAGTGACCCAGGCTAGCCTAGAACTCAAAATCCTGCTTCAGCTTTCCATGGTATCGATCTATCAGTTGTCTTTTTTTTTTCTTTCATTCCGCTGGTGATTGTTCTGTTCTTAGTTTGATGAGTGAAACTTGAATGTGTTGATATCGTGTTTTCAGAGTCTGAATCTTGTTCAACTTGTATGCTTTAACTGGCTTTTCTGACACTGTTCAGGCAGGGAAAGGGACTTGTTCCTGTCACCTTGAAGTAGAAGTCCAGGTTCCCACTTGATACCCATTGGTATGCAGCAGTATGGATTTTTGCTACTGCTGGAGAGGGCTAGAATCTGTCTCCATGTGGTCTCCACAGGGCAGTGTGGCTTGCTGCTTGCTCGTGAGGATGAAGATCCCAGCTCTTGCTCAGCCTCTCTGACACCACCCCAGCAGATGTATTGGGGTACCTCAGTTTAGTCCTACGGGGCTTCCTGTTCAAGTCTAGGCTTCCCTTCAGCCTTTGTCGACATCTGTAAGGTTGGTCCGCAGTTCTTTCTGTGATATTTGGTTGGAGTATCACAGTTAATTGTCTTAATCTTTTCTGTCCTTTTCTTGGTCTTTTGGCTACAAAGTGCAGATGTATATTCGAGGGTGTTATGTTGTTGTTTTTGTTGTGTTACGCCCCCCTCCTCCCGTATCTATTGGCATTTGCAGGGTGCCCTCTTCTTCAGCTCAAAGTCTAGGATACATGAGGCAAAAGGAAAACCCAGGAAACTCTCTGTCCTTCCAGGGTCTCAAGTTCCTCCCAGACCTTTACTATCATCTCTCCTCCTTCCAGACTGTCTTACTTTTTGCTGGTGTTTGTAAGTGTCCAGGGATTTTAGTTGTACTTTGAAGAAAGAATAAAAAGTACATCTAGTCTGCCTTTCCAGAAGCAGACATAGCTGTGAACCTTAAGTTCTGAATCCCAAAGAGGTCAAATAATAACTAAGAGAATGATTTCAGAGTATAACTGTTTTCTCCATCTGTGAATTAATTCATAGGCATCCTCAAAAGATGTTGTCAGACAGCTATGTCAAGAGAGCTTTTCCATTTCGGCCATTGACTCAAAAAATCTCTTGGATATTACGTGTTCCAGCTTGTCTGTGACCCAGGAAGAGGCAAAGCAAGTAAGTATTGTGGGAAGGGACCTTTGACCACTGGCCATTGTCACTTGTTCATCTCTTCCCAGTCACTGCTTCCTTACTATTTGCAAACATCTGCAAACAGAAACATTTGCAGCAAATTTCAGGTAAACTTTCTAAAAACAGAATCAGAGCTCTTGACTATCTTCTTTTCAGACTTACTACCTGACCATGCGGACAAAGGCCAACTTTTTTGGACTTTTCTTTTCCAGCTTGAATTTGCAGAGGCTGATGCATTGCCAGCTGAGGCAGACTTTCCCAGGATCTTTGGGGGTGATGTATAGAGGTCTGAGTAGCACCAGGGAGAGCATGCTGCTAGGTTCCATCAGCCTCCCTCAGATGCATTGTGTGCCATACTCCCTCCTCATCCTCTGCCCCAATCAAGTCTCCTGCTCAGCAGCACAGCTCTCTTCCCAGGGGAAGAGTTAAGGTGACCCTGGAGAAGTTATAAAGCAGTGACTGCCTTATCTTCCCAGGGCTGCTATGCTTCTAGGACAGGAGTATTTTCATCCAAATGAGCCTCTGTTGCTGTTTTGTTTTGTTTTGCTTTGTTGAGTTTTTGCATTTTCCTGTGTCAATACTAGGGATTGAATTCAGCGCCTGGGCACTATCCCTAGTTTTTTTCACTCAAGGCTGGCACTCTACCACTTGAACCATGGCCTTCTGCTGGTTAGTTGCAGATAAGCGTCACAGGCTTTCTTGCCTAAGCTGACATTGAGTCACAATGTTCAGATCCCAGCTTCCCTGAGTAGCTAGAATTACAGGCGTGAGCCATGGGCATCCAGCTTAAAATGTTTAATTTAGAGCTGTGCTCATTGAAATCACTATAGAAAAGTAAGAGAGCTAGCATAGCACTAGTGCCTGAATTTAAACTGAAGTACTGCCAAAAAAAAGAAAAGAAAAGACAACAGTAAGAATATAGACGTGAAGGGCTGGGAAGGTGGCTCAGTGGTAGAGTGCTTGCCTTGCATGCATGAGGCCCTGGGTTCGATTCCTCAGCACCACGTAAGCAGAAAAAAAGCCAGAAGTGGTGCTATGGCTCAAGTGGTAGAGCCCTAGCCTTGGGCTGAAGAGCTGAGGGACAGTGCCCAGGCCCAGAGTTCAAGCCCCATGACTGACCAAAAACAAAAACAAAAACAAAAAAAGAATATAGAAGTGAATTGTAGAGTTAGTTTGGGTTCCCTTGAGGACTTGGTATAGCTAGTGTGTAGGAGGTGGAGGAAATCAAGCAGGAAAGAAGACAATCGCAAGCATTTACCATTATAGCACTAATTTCAACCCTCACTGGGGGAGGGTGAATTTCCCCCTGCTTTTGGGTTGTGTCAATATGGAGTTATTCAACCTCCAGTGGTAACAGAAGGAGCCCCCAAACAGTCACTTCCAGAGAGTTTTCTCTTTTTTTTTTTTTTAGTCATGGAGCTTGAACTCAAGGCTTGGGTGCTGTCCCTGAGCTCTTTTGCTCAAGGCTAGCTATGTACCACTTTGAGATATGGCTCCACTTCCAGTTTTCTGGTGGTTAATTGGAGATAAGAGTCTCCAGGACTTTCCTGCCTGGGCTGGCTTCTAATTGTGATCCTCAGCCTCCTGAGTAACTAGGATTATAAGCATGAGCCACGAGGGCCCAGCTTCCAGGGTTTTCTTAGATTCAGCTAAGCATCATTATATTCACAAATCATCTGTAAGCCACACCTGGTGACAGATCCACATTGAAGGACGCAGTTGAGAGTAGGCCAAGGATGTGCATGATGGTAGAGGACTTTCCCAGTGTACACAAAGCTACACATAGCAGGGCGAAGTCCAGCATTCTTCTTCACTGATGGCTGGCCAGGAACTGTTTGTTTTCTCTGCCTTCCCAGATGACAGTTTAAGGGCAAGGACATGAAACTTAACTACCTTGGATTCAAAGCCCAGACACTACAGGAACCAATATGTCTTGTCACAATTCAGTAAGCACAGTGTCAGACCCTTGCAAGGAGCCTGCAGCACCACTCAGGGAAGCCCGACACTATGGGCCCCAGATGTTTACTCAGCCCTCTCAGTCCAAAGGCACTGGACCAATGCAGGGTTGCCTAGTAACCCAGTTGCCTTTCTACTTCTCTCCGGTTACCAAGGAAACAGCTCTAGAAAGTTAAGTGAAGGTCAGATGCTCCCACAGAGGGAAAAGGATGTATTAACTCTTTGTCCACAAGTAGAGTTTCTGTCCAGCAGACAGCTTCCTGGTTCTTGAGTCCTCACTCCTGTGATGTGTACAAGTGGGGCAGAGTTTAGAGCCTAGTCCTGCCCCTTACCCTGTGCTCCTTCCCTGTGCTCCCTGCCCCTTCTTTTCCTGCCACTACAGCACGGTCCCCTCTACCCCACAGTTACTCCAGGCTCTGCATCACCTCACTAGGCTGGTGACATTCCGTGACCTGTCATCCTCTGAAGCAATCCTGGCTCTCTTTCCAGAAAATTTCCACCAAAACCTCAAAAACCTGCTGACAAAAATCATCCTAGAACGTGTGTAAGTGATCATTTTTTGAGAGTTCCTTCTAATTTTTCTATTTATAACTTTTATTCTTGTTATAGAATTTTTTCATTGTTGGAAATTTAGAAGAGAAGAAAATGAGATGCCTATAATCCTACCATCCAGTAGTTATCAGTATTAATTCCTTAACAGATAGCCTTTTAGAACTTGTTTACTGTTTCTCATTATACATAGATGAAGAGGGTGATTTTTTTTTAGCAAAAAATAATAATTTGCTTATTTTTCAGTAAACAGTATGAATATTAATGACATGTCAATAAGTCTTTACCTTCAGTATCATTTTTGATGGCTGAAATATATTCCATTATACAAAAAAATTGGGTATAAATTTTAAAAAAAAAATTTTTTTGATCGGTTGTGGGGCTTGAACTCTGGGCTTGGGTGCTCCCTGCGCTCTTCAGCTCAAAGTGAGCGCTCTGTGTCTTGAGCCACAGTGCCACTTCTGGTTTTCTAGTGGCTTATTGGAGATAAGAGTCTCATGGACTTTCCTGCCTGGGCTGGCTTTGAACCATGATCCTCAGATCTCAGCCTCCTGAGTAGCTAGGATTACAGGCGTGAGCCACTGGTGCCCAGCTAAATTTAAAAATTCTTTACTATTAAACATGGATATTGGCAGTTTTCTACTTAGGTGAGAAATTTATGTTGCTCATATAATCTATATGCTCATGTATTTAATTATGTCCTTCTGGGGTTCAAGGGTTCTAACGATGTGTATTGTCAAACTGGCCACCAGAGAGACTTTTTCCCAATGCTTTTTGCCTCAGCAGGATGCATTGTGCCCTTCCTGTCTCTTCCCTTTTTCTTTTTCTTACATTTTTTTTCCCAACTCCACAAATGGAAAATGGTACGTCATTTCCACTTAGGCATGTTAAGTATCTTCTTCTTGTGTTGAGTATCTTCTGCCTATATTTGTTGAGTATTCGTTTATTTATTAATTTTTTGTGACTTGTCTGTCTATCTTTTGAGCTAGGCAGATCCTTTAAACAATAAACAAAAGCTTAAGTAGAATTGATTTTTGTTTGCCAGAAGTCTAGAGCAGACCTCCCTAAAAGCAATAAAGATTATGCCCTTACCAGGGATGTGTTGTTTGTTTAGATCTTTCCTACATGAAGACCACGTTTTACTCTGACTCTCTCTGATACCTCATTATGGTGCTGAGTGCTGTACCATTAGCCTCGTCTGTTTGTGTGCAGTCCTCCATGTGATAGGTGCCCAAGAAAGAAGACATAAGTTGACCTTTTGTCTGTTTAGTCTTTTCATAATAAGATCACAAAGTGTTCAGTCTTTTTTTCTGTTCTTTGTTGACCTAAGCTATGAAGCTAACTGACAGCACTTATGTATGGTTTTAATGTCACTAAGCAGTGGTGAAACAAAAGCAAAACTGCTTTTCTGAGGTAGAAGGTCAGGTCCAAGGGCCTCTGTCATCAGAAAATTCACCCTCCATTCCTTTTCCATTATTGTTTCCTCCTCTTTCCCTCTTAAACAGGTCTTCATGGAGAACAGAAGCGCAAGCAAATCAGAGTGAGTACTGAGATAGTGCCTCTCCTCGCCCTGCACCAAGGCCTGCCCTGAATCCATGACTAGATACCTGAACCAAAAATCAGAGGGAACTATTCCAGGCCCCCACTGAACTCTGTGTGTTGGGATTACTCTCTTTAATTGCACTATTAAATTTTTTCCTGATTATAAAAACATATTGTAAAAACAGAGGAAATATCCAAAGCAAATAATTGTATTTCATTGAGAAAAAGCTAACAGTAATTGTACTGGAATGGAATGAAAAGTTGGAATGAAAGTGTGTTCAATACCCAGTCACTACACTGACCCCGAGCTAGGCCTAGTCCTGGAGCCTTTGGTCTGCTCTTGCTCATTTAGTCATCCAATAACCCTGAGAGCCAGGTTGAACAGGCTTGGCAAGTGGTGGAACCACCATGCAAAACAAATCTCTTCATTTTTAAGACAAGTATTTTAGATTTTAGAATTATTTGTAATGGCTCAAGGTGAAATGCATTCCATTGCATGAAAGAATTCGGTATTGCCGAGACCAGGGCTTCCCTCTACCTATGCCTCTTCTCATTCCATCCTGACATCTGGAGGCATGGGTGTTTGAGCAGAAGCCTGGAGACACAATGAGTCAGTACTAAGGTCAGGTGACACAGAGCAGTAGATAAGGCCCATGACTTGCTCAGGGTCTTGGGCTCCATCTATCTCTTTCAGAGCCTTACTGTGTAAATCAAATGCATTGTATGTATATAGCCCTTGGTATCACCTGTCCCAAAATAAAGGCCCAGTAAGTATGGGTGGCATGAGCTGTTGGCTAAGCTGTTGGCTAACCTTCACAGTTTCTCTGCCACGCCTTGTTGACCTGGATTGGAGAGTGGATATCAAAACCTCCTCAGACAGCATCAGTCGCATGGCTGTTCCTACCTGCCTACTCCAGATGAAGGTACGTCCACTGCTATCCTCCTTGGAGCCACATGGGAGCAGTAGGGAGTTGGTACCTCTTTGCCATCTAAATCCAGCCACTAGACCTGAGGTTTGGTTCAAGTGGTAGAGCACTAGCCACTCAAGTTAGCTTAGCAAGAGCCAAGCCCTACTACTGGCAAAAGCAAAAGTCAACCAAAGTTCTAGAATCATTAGCCCTATGAGTTAAAAAAAATTTTAATGTATCCCAAAATGCACACACTTGTACACAAAGTATACATGGACTACCGTACCATAGTCACACCTCATGGTCATAGTACCAGATAGACTGAAGTTTAAAAACAATGAGACAAGTGTAGAACATTATTTGTTGATACCTAAAGATGCTCACTTTGTGGAACGTTGAGCTTCAAAAACAGGCATGTGCATTCAGATTCCAAATAGCCTTATAGCTCATTCCCATGGCTTTGATCAGCTTCTGCCCAGTAGTAACAGCATGTCACTGTGCGCAGTTCAGCTGATCAAGCTTCTGTTAGCATTTTTCTTTTTTAAAAATTTTGCTTTATTGATATTATAGAGATGATATACAGAGGGGTTACATTTACATGTGCCAGGTAATAAGTACATTTCTTTTTATATAGTGTCATCTGGTCCCTCAGTTTTCATTTGTTGGCTCATGTGCCTTCCTGTCCCCCCTGCCCCCGGCATCTTTACATTAGAATTCTTTTCAGGACTCTTTTAAGATTTTTTAAAAAATTAATTAAAATTATTACCCAGAAAAATCAACACCTGTAAGGTGTTGATGTGAGGGCGCAACTGAATTGTCAATACGAGTAGCTTAATTCCTTTTATTTAATTTTTAAAAAATTTTTTGTCTGTCATGGGCCTGGGCCTGGGCGCTGTCCCCCAGCTCTTCAGCTCAAAGCTAGCACTCTACCACTTGAGCCACAGCACCACTTCCGGCTTTTTTCTGCTTATGTGGTGCTGAGGAATCAAACCCAGGGCCTCATGCATGCAAGGCAAGCACTCTACCACTGAGCCACTTTCCTAGCCCCTAATTCTTTCTTTTTTAAGATCAAGTAAATATAACTATAACTTGTCGTGTATTTCCTGCAACCCATAGAATGTGTTATGTATCCCATCAGACCCACTTCTTAAAGTCTCAACAATAGAAACACATATTTTCTCACTCGGGCTTGGGGTATTGAAGAGGAGGCCTTTTCCGGCCCATGGTACTAAAAAGGAAAGTGAGCCAGCCCTCTGCCCAGCTCCTTCACTCTCCCCAGTTGCTAAATGACTCCTGGCTGGGCCTCCCTGCAGCTCTCAGCAAGTAGCTTCTTTTCAGAGGCCCCCATAGGGCTGAGTCGGGCTCACTTACAGGGAAAAAGGAAGACAGACAGCTTTGACTTTCTGGGCCACATTCTCTTTGCAGATTCAGGAAGATCCCAGTCTGTGCGGAGACAAACCCTCCATCTCTGCTGTTACCATGGAGCTGAGCAAAGAAACACTGGACACCATGTTAGATGGGCTCGGCCGCATCCGAGACCAGCTTTCTGCTGTGGCCAATAAATCATGAGACCAGCTGCAGGTACCACTGCTTGCCCCAGGGGCTGGTCCTTGAAAAAGCTCACCCTACCATGCAGCCTGCTGTGCAGGGGGCAGGAGAGTGGGATGGAGGGGCCAGATGGACTGTGAAGAAACAGCTGGGTCCCTTGCTATTCTCCCCTTTAGTCTTCCTAAGGCTGACACACAGAGGCCTCCATCTTTAAAGGCACCCGTGTGCATCTTCATGACTGCTGTAGCCGGAAGAAGGAACGTGTACTACTTCTTCAGCTGTCTCCACATAGCCATTTGGTGAACTCAGGCTGAAACTCCTGGGCTTACCGCATGAGTTTACTGCTGACAGTAACTCTGATGAGTTCATTTCAAGCCCTGGATCACAGGAAGAATCAGGCTGGTGGTGCCAGCAATGCCTGCTTATCTGTCAGAGAAGCCAGGCAAATGCCACAGAGACTGGCCACTACTACCTGGGCCTTCAGGCCCTGCTGGACCACCTTCCTGATCCAGAAGTTCGAAACACTGCTGAGTGAAGAAGTGGGAATGATCGGAAATAAATACAAGTCTTATGATTCTAGTCATGATTCTTTTCATCTGAATTGCTGCATTCAGCTAGCGCTGCCTCCCATTTTTTAAGATGTCCCAATTTTCTAATTCCCAGCCAAGCCCCTGATCCCTGATGTGCAGAAAAATCAGCCCAAGAGACTTCCCACTTTCCATCGGAAAAGATTGACAGTCAGTAAGCACATATCATGACCCATGACGGCATCTTAAGGATTTAACCATGTGATGTCAACTTGGCCACATGCACATCATAGGGACCCCATGGTGGGAACACCTTTCTCCTTCATTTGTCAAGATCATTCCTGGGACAACTGCATGCAACCTGCTTGCTGAATTCCTTGTCTTGGCAGGGATGTGTGTATGTGTGGGTCTATGACTGTGGATCTGGGTCTGGGTCTCTGTGTCTGTGTGTTGCAAAGAGGAGGTTAGGATATGTACTTGTGAGGCAGCCAGGTGCCAGAAACCAGCTGTCCTTCTCATTGTGGAAGCATTGACATTTCCCCCCACTTTATTAGCAACAATTAGTTTACAAAGGGGTCTCATTTTGACATATACAGTGGCCCTCTATCCTCCCCTTTTCTCCCCTTCCCAGTGCAATCTCAAATACTGTTCCATGTTCACATGAATACATAAAGTATTCTGATCATATTCACCCTCTCCATTCACCCTCCTACTAGTGCCCACACCCCAGATGGGATCTGTTTTATATTCTTGTCGTTTTTGTGTGTATGCTAATTGTTCAGAGACTTCACTGGGATTTTATGCATGCATGTATAATAATTTAATCAGATTGCTTCCCTGGCTTACTCTAACTTCCATTCCTAGTTCCCCCATTCTTCAACAGCTTCCAGTTCATTTCATTTTACTATCTTCACTCAGATGTACTGTATTATTCACTCTAGCTCCTCTACCTGTTCTCTCAAACAGTCCTACAATTATAAACATAAGTAACTCTATAATTAAAAGTGGGTGTTCATATCAGTGTGAAAGACAAAAGAGAGAGAGAGACAGAAAGATCCTGTATATGTTTATGTGTATTTTTGTCTTTTATACCTAGCATCTGTGTCTGAGGGAAAACATGACTTTTGTCTTTCTCAATTTGGCTTACATTGTTCAACTAGATCTCTAGTTCCATTTATTTTTTGCCATCTGACATGGTTTCATTTTTCTTTATGAAAAAAAATTCCGCTGGCAGATTGTGGGGAAGAGGAAGCCTGTACTGTTGGTAGAAATGTAAATTACTGGAACCACTATGAAATCAGTATGGCAGTTTCTCAAAAAACAAAAAAATAGAACTACCACCGTGTGATCCAGATCCATTGGTATCACTTTTGGTGTGTATCCAAAAGACTATAAATCAGGAAACAATAGAAACACTTGCACACTTATGTGAACTGCAGTACTATTCATGATAGACAAGCTTGACCTTTAAGGATCAATTCCTACCACTCTTCTTTATTTCTAAGATTAAGTAATAATACTTGCTGTATAGGACTATTGTGGAGATTAAATGATACTACATGCCTACACGTACTTAGCACTGTTCTGGTAAAACAGGAAAGGCTCAGTATTGTTAATCCTGACTGCTAGTGGAAATGACAGTGATGTTCTGTGCGTTCGCTGTTTCATCTGCATGTCATGGGATTGGTGGGAGACAGTCTGTTATCCTCCCTTCACTGATAAGGAAAGCAGCTCACTGAGCCAACGGCCTCATTAAGACTCGGGCTTTCTCTCTGTAACACATAGACAATAGAGTTCTATAACTGGTACCATTTGGAAAATTCTGGAAGGGAAGTAAAGATGAGAAATCTTACCTCTGTCCATCCAGACACTGGGAAATCAACACAAACTCCTCTTTGTCTGCTAAGTCCTGAAGCTACTCTTTTGGGTCCACACCTATGGTTGGGGAGATTCTGAGAGGCAAGGCCATGTGAGGTGGCCAGGGTGACCTGAGTGGTGTGGGACAGGATGGGAAGGGGCAAGTGTGGATGCCAGGGACCTGCAGCCCAGAGTTGGAGTGCCTTGCCCTGCCCCCTCCCACCTCCCTATACACCAGCACGAAGACCCCAGTGGACACAGGGTTTCCTTCCCGGAGTCATCCCAGATGGCTGGCTCCAGACAGATTCAACTGTGGCACTTTATCCTAAAGCTGCTACGGAAAGAGGAATACCAGGGCATTACTGCCTGGCAGGGGGCCTACGGGCAAAGGGGTACCACCTATGGGCTACAAATCTCTACAAGTTCCTGCCCTCCACTCCCAACCCTAACACTGTCCCTTCACCCCCTGCCTCCACCTCCCCAGCTGTTCTTAGGACTGGCCCATTAGGCAGACAAGTGGAGGGTTACAGGAAGGGAATGCCCTGACATAAACTGGAAGCACGCTCTGCCTCTCAACTTATGCCCCTGGAGGGGACTATGGCCAAGCCTTATTCTGTATTGGGGCTGGAGGGTGGGGAAGGGAAGTAGGGGGCTCCTGGAGAATGTATTCAAACAATAAGACTTTGGACTTTAAAAAAAACAAAACAAAACAAAGAGCCATGGTTGTGTCCACAGTACCTGCCCTGGCTGCTCTACACATTCCACTTACCTGACCACAAGCATGAATGGCACCTGGTCCTGATCCTGTGTACATGCCACCTAGATGGTCTCAGGGATGTACATGACTGGCGAAGGCAGTCTGGGAACAGCAGAGCAGACCTCCTCTCCATCTGTTCTAAGAGGAAAGCTAGCAATGTGAGCATCTGTCTTCTGCCACATAGAGAAAGCCCATTTGCAACAGACCATCTAGATCTCGGGGATGGCGAAAAGATGAAATGATATAGTGCTCCTGAAACCTGTTCTTCCCAGTTTATCCAACCATCCTGATGGAGACTGTGTAAAGTATACCCAGGATTTTTTTTTTAATCAGGAAAGAGAAGATACACAGACACAGAAGATTGTCATAAACTTTATGCCAACGGAGCCTGAGAAATAACATGCCAGGCCACACAGGGCCACATGGGAGATGGACCATGTCCTCAAGGTAAGCCTGAACCTTTTCCCCATTTTCACTAAATATTGAGCCACCGGTCACCAAGAAAGAGTCTTTCATTCTGCTGAATTGGAGAACAAATCCCAGCAGAAGGCAGATAACACATTGCAACCTGATCAATGTGTAAAGCAGCATGATCATATTAACCCTGACCCCCACAGTTGGCCCTCGATGCTTGCGTGAGCAGTCAGGCAGAGCCATCTCCCAGCACTGTGAGTAGCAGACTGAAATTAGACTGGGCACCGCTCAGAGGGAAAGGCGAAGTGGTTGATCAGGCACCCGGGGAGCATGTAACCATCCCAGATGCTAGGCGTTTTGTCTACATGATTCAAATGGCTTGATTGCCAGAACTGCCCAGTCAGTGGGTCAGACTTGTCCCTTGGCACTGGGAGGGTGGTGGTTCTTCAGCCCCTTCAGTGGGATCTTGCCTCTGAAGAGCCATTTACCTATAAAACCCCAGCTGTTTGATCCTGGGCCTAGGCCCCAGGCACTCTACCAATGGAGAGAAATGTGCTGAGGGCCCTGGTGCTCAGCCCCAGACATGATGCCCTGGATTATTAGGTACCCTGAGGAAGCCCAGTTTTCACTGCAGAATTTCTAGATTGGGAGTGGCTAGCAGGCAACAACTGGCAGAAGAATAATGCAGTAGCCTTGAGCTGTAGTCGCTCCGACAATGGTCAGTACCTTTCCAAACACTGGCTGCCGTCCCTTGGATCCAAGTAATAAGTCACACAGTGTTAAGGGCTTATTTGCTATCTGCATCTAGCATCAAACCACTCTGTTCACTGCACTAATTGTTCCAAATTGTTTTAATTAGGAATGTTAAGACACAAAGACAGAAAATTATTGTCCTGAAGGAAGAACAAAAGGCACATGGCCATGGGTGGTGGCTCCAGCCCATAATCTCAGCCACTTGGGAGGTTCGAGACCAACCCCTGGCAAAACAACAAGAAAGTTATCAAGACCCTGTCTCAAAGAACAAGGCAGGTGGCACATATACATTGCAAAAATCATAAGACCCTATCTGAAAAATAACTAAAGAAAAAAGGGTTTGCAGCGTGGTTCAAGTGGCAAAGTATCTGCCTAGTGAGCATCATGGGGTAAATAGTTGTGCATTGTATAGCAAAGGCAGTTCAGTCTGGGACTAAGCAGGAACTCAAATCTACTCCTTTGGATCAAAGGCCAGTTGTTTTTACATTCCTACTCCAATTTGGGGAGAAGAAAACTCCTGGTTTGCTCCAAACATGGTGACTTTCAGGCTCTTTCATCTATCCTGCCTTTTCCACTTTCCTGGAGGTCACAACCATCCCCTATTGCCTCCAGTCCCTGGTGACTTTCAGGGCCAAAGCCAAATTGGCACAAGACCCAGGCACAGAAGTCAGGCCAGTTAGATTGCCTGTCTAGGCCCCTGATAGGTGCTGCTCCTGAACCCACAATGATGACATGTTATGCCAGGATTAAGGGAAAGCATTCTTGAGAGAGAAAGAACAGCACAGGCAAAGGCTTTCTTCCCTGGGCTACATCCCTACCCAGGCCCAGGTGGTTGGAGAGAACCCAGGTCCTTCTCTAGGCTGGCCTCTTAGAAACAATGGTACTTGAACTCTTAACAGTGGTGGGAGTTCAAGCTACCAATGTCTACCCCTCCATTGTTATGTCGGCAGTGAGTTTGTTGCTTTCATTCAGAACACCCACCCATCTTTTCTCTCCCACCGTGGGGAAACTATGCTTGGGAAACTGCATTGTGAACAGATATCTCCACACCCATGCCCACGGACTTGAAGTCAGTTGTTGGATCAGGAAACAGCTGGGGTAGACTTAGGAAGAGCAGTGAAAGTGATTGTTATTTGCCATCCTAATCCATTCAACATAATCCACTCGTGATTTACTAACAGGGACCCTGTGTGAAAGAAGATGGGACACAATGGATAACTGCTAGGCAGTCCTCTGTGTGTCAGGCACTGGTGGATCTCCCATGGAAACAG